GTGCCCGAGGGCCACTTTCCGGGCCACCTGGTGGACATCGGCGGCACCGGGACCCTGTCCCACAGCTACCAGTATGAGGTGTGTCTGACGGGAGACGCTGGGAGTAATGAGTTCAAGTTCCTGAAGCCAACATTCCCCAATATTCTAGGCCAGGAACTTGGGAGGAAGTCAGAGGGAAATCCAACCTTACAAAATAATTTAGGTATCTGAAACTTCGCCACTTCAACCTTCGTGTTGTCTCCTTTACCTTTTTCTTTTTAAAAAAAATCCAGTAGTAGCCTTTAATTCTACTTTTTTCCCCTATTTTTCTTAGTAATGTTACTCTTTGTTTTGTTGGCCTGATTGTCCTATAATTATTTTTCCAAGTATTGTATTATTAGTAAAAAATTTATATCAGGAAATTTCATATTTCTGATTAAATTTTTAGTACTCATTCCTAAAGCGTGCTATGAAACCTCTCAGAATAAACATAATTCTAATTTAAAAAGTGTTCATCTCACTATATGACACTACAAAGGATATCTGATTGCTTTATATCATATTTCATTTTTAAATTATCAGAGGTCTCTTTAGCTTTTATAATTTACACAGCTATGACTTTTTTATAATCCCTCTTCTGTTTGGGGTGCAATGAATTTGTACTTACCCATGTCCAGTTTTTTCCAAGCTCTGTTTGGATTTTTGTTCTATCAATAGGAAGCAACATGAATAACTTGGTTGTATTTATTTCAAAATCACACTTTTATTCATTAGACTTTCACTTTAAAATATGTATATCATCTCATGAAAATATATCTTTATCATCTATTCTTTCTCATGTAAAGTAATGTTGAAAAGACTTATGAATTCTTCGTTATATCTGACTGAAGTTATGATCCTGATTAGAGTCCTGGATAGGTTTACTGATGCCCAGATTGACTGTGTTTAAGGTGTTCCTATATACTCTAAAGGCCAGTAGACTCTAGGACTAAGTAATACATTGCCTGCAATTGTCCCTTGCTATTGCAGAGAAATTCTCAAGTGAACTCTAAATTCTGGACCTAAAGGAGCTTTTGATTGCACAGCATGCCAATGTCTACTTGCCTTTGGATGACGTAAGGGTTCTGGTTGATAAGACATTTGAAAGAAAATATTGTAGAATTCATATTAGTTTACTAAAGAAAACTTATTAAAGGATATGTTAATGAGGGTGTTGAATGATTTGAAGGAAATCAGCTCTGTTGTCAGGACTCCTTTATTTCTGGCAGCCTCTTAATTTTGCAGATACTATAGAATGGTGTGGGAGGCAGAATAATGGTCCCCTAAGATGTCCACACCCTATTCCCTGGAACCTGTGACTGTGTTATGTTATACTGCAAAAGAGAATTAAGGTTCAGATGGAATTAAGATTGCTAATCAGCTAATCTTAAAATACAGAGAATGTCCTAGATAATTTGGGTGGGCCTGATTCAATCAGTTGAAAGGCCTTAAAAGCAGAGCTGAGTCTTCCCTGAGATGAAGAAATTCTGACTGTGGGCAGCAGCTTTAGCTTGTGCCCCCAGAGTTCCAGCCTCCCCTTTTTAATTGCTTGCGCCTCAGATTTTGGACTTACCTAGCCAGTTCCCACAATCGAATAAATCACTTTCTTGCAATAAATCTCTTACTATAGACCTTCTGCTGGTTCTGTTTTTCTGGTTGAACCTTGACTGATACAGGGTTTGGTACCTAAAAATGGAATGCTGCTATAACAAATAACTAAAAATATGAAGGTTGCTTTGGAATTGTGCAGTAGGCAAAGGCTGAAAGGATTTCGTATAGCATGATGGAAAAAGCCTAGATTGCTTTGGGCAGACTGTTAGTTGCAATATGGATGTCAACAACTCTGCTAGCAGAGACCCAGGAGGAAGTAGGGAGCATGGTGGAGAAAACACAGATTGCCTTATAGAATTTCTAAGTCATTGTAAAGAGGCTGTTGGTAGAAATATGGATGTTAAAGTCACTTCTGGTCAGGGCTCTTGAAAGCAATGAAGAAAATGTTATTGGAAACTGGAGGAAAGGGAATCCTTCTTATATGGTGGCAGAAAATTTAGCTTGAATTGTGTTCTGCAGTGGAAGTGTGGAAAGGACTTGTAAACAATGAACTTGGACATTTAGCTGAGATTTCCAGACAAAGGGTTGAAGAAGCAGCCTGCTTTCTTCTTGCTGTTAGTAACATGTGAAAGGAATTGAGATAGATTAAGGGAACGCCTGTTAAGCAAACAGGAACCAGAATTTGATGATTTGGGAAACTCTCAGCCTATTCAAATTGTAAAAAATGCTAAAATTATGAGATTCACTGTCAGGAAAGCATGTTCTGGAGAGAAAACCAAGGGTGTTATGAGGCAAAGGGGAATTAAGGTTGCAGGTGGAATTAAGGTTTATAATTAGCTGACCTTTAAATAAGGATATTACCATAGATTATCCAGGTGGCTCCAGTATAATCACAAGAGCCCTTACTAAGAAGTAGAGGTGGAAAGCAGAAGCATCGGTATCAGAGTGATATTATGTGAAAAAGGCAAGACTGAACCAGCCATTACTGACTTTGAAGGTGGAAAAGAGCCACAAGTGAAGGAATTCAGGCAGCCTCTAGAAGCTAGAAAAGGCAAGAAAATGGACTCTCCCATAGAGCCTCCAGAAAGGAATGCAGCCCTGCCTTAGCCGTAGCCCAGTTTAACTTTCCATCCCCAGAACTGTAAGACTGTGTTTTTAAACCATTAAGTTTGTGGTAATTTGTTACAGCAGCAATAGAAATGAATAGGCATGACTACTAAAAAAGCCATTTCCCAACCCATTTTTCTTTGCCTTCCCCTACTCTAGGCCAAAATATTTGTATTCCCACAACCCCTTGCAGGTAGGTGTGTCATATAACTCCATTATTGCTAATGATTTAAACGTATAATTGGGGGTTTGGGCTTAAGGGAAATATTTTTGAAAGGGCTAGTCTAAGGGGGCATGTTCCTTAGGGACTTTGCCCATTTTCTTTTTTCTTAACCAGCATGGGTATTGGGAAAGAAGCCTTGAGTTGAAGCAGTCAACTTGCAACCGTAAGATGAATGCCATTAAATAAAGTTTTATATATAAGTATGATAAGATGGAAAGCCACTGAATTTCTCATAGCATTGTTAAGCTGCTACAACAACTCTACACTGCCTTCTCCCAGGTTGCATGCTATAAATAAATCCCTATGGGGTTAAGTAAATAATTGTAATTGGGTTTTCTGTTGATTGCAGACAAATGCATTAGAATCTGCCACAAGTAAGTTTGATTTACACAGTTGTCTGACTATGTGTCAGACTGTCTATTGAAGATGTATGAGATGCTTGTCAAAAAAGTAGGTTTTTAAATTTTTTTAAAAAAAGCAGTAGTTTTGCTTTCCATTAGGTGTTATTAAGGGACAGTACTCTGAGCTGACTTTATATCTTCATTCAGTCATCTTGCAATTTGGCTAATACACAGATAACTGAACTTTCAAAGGAATAGCTAGTGGCAACCCAAAAAGTTGAGTTTGGGAGAGTAGAATAAGAAGGTAAGCTGACAAATGCCTGTTATACTTTTAAACCTGATTAGTGGTATCCTGACAAAATGACTACGATGTTTATGCAGCATCTAGAACACTGGTTTTCATCTAAGGCAACAAAATAGCAGGACAAAAAAAAATCTTACTTAGTAAAATAAATTGGTTAAATATGAGTCCTGAAAATCTTCATAAGCATTTCAGTAATCTACATGTTTTGATAGAATATGCCTGGTAGAAGGATCAGAAATTCCTGACAACTTTTTCAATATAAGAAGATGAGTGTTTTGAAAAAGGCCCGGAGACCACAATGTGTCAGTATCCACTACTCCTTTCCTATCTTACTTACAAAGAATTTATTGGTAAAGTGTAGAATTTAAAGGCATCTCCAAAGGATTAATACTTATGTCTTTTATGAATTGATCTGGAATACCTTGAAAAGAGCACTACTTCCAGTTTATCAGCATAATCATAAAAAATTAATAGAAATCTATCATGAAACATGAATGGTAGTGCCTCAAACAATTTTAGAACTTTACAGCTGCACCCAGAGTGTTTGTGTATTTTGTGCATTTGTATATGTGGTCATTTGAGCTTGGGGGGGGCACATGCACGTGTGTGTGTCTAGGGGGTAGCTTTAGTAGATGGTGGAGATGCACTGCATGCACAGATATATAC